TAGTCCCAGCTGCCAAATTCTATAAGAGATGATGATGGCTGGAGGAAACAAAAGGAACAGAAGCCAACACATAATTACAACAGTCAAGTTCAGGCAAGAATTGGGGTGTGAACTGGGGCTGCCAAACCCAGCTAATATCTCTTAGAGACAACAACAACAATCACAGGAATTTTTAATCATGCTGTTAATGCACCTTTCTGAACCGAAACTGGCATCAAGACTTTGGACCTAGGAGTTCAAGGTAACAGAAGGAACAGTCAAAGGAGGATTGACATCCAGATGATATTCAGAACAGCACAGAGCAACTCTGCTTTGTTGACATTTAGTTTCATTAGTAAACTCAGATGTGTAAATGCAGCTGAGCAGAAGCAGTGAAAAGACAAAACTTGGAATGGAATCCAGGAAACAAGGCTGGATGTCATATTGTGAGGTGATGCTGTGGATCACCCTGTGCAGAGGAGTCTACTTCCAGGAACTGAAATAACTACAGGTGTTACATCCCTTGGTGAGAAGAATAGCCATCATTTCTCACTATAGCAGTTGCCCCAGCTTTTAGGACTTGAATTATTTTCTAAACTGATGCAAGCACCCTAATGCCCTGATAATGCCAGGCTTTAGATGTAGCCACCCAATTCCCACCCCTGTAAGATCAATGAGGTCAGGAATGATGTGCCCCTAGCATCATGGACACCTAGTACTCAGAGGCAAATGCCAGTTAAAGCTCTATGCCTAGTTTTCAAGCAAGTTTAAAAGTGATTGGGTGACTTCCTGTGAGTAAAATGCCAACTGCACCCGTCACGTATATATTGCAAAGAGGTCTTAGAGCAGAGGAGACCAAAGGCCAGGGAAGAACCCTCTGCTGACATAGGACCTCTGCTCCATCCTCTTACAGGCCAGTCTAGGAAACGTGACCAATACCAGTAAGGGATACTTCTGTAACATTCAGTGCTATGGGAATCCTGGCCTCTCATTAAGTAACAGCCTTCTGTTAAAATTATATCTAAGACTGGTTGGACCCTCACAGAAGCTCAGGTTCTGGGCTCTGCCCAGCTCCCTGAGCTATCTATGCCTTTTGCCCATGCCTCTTTGGAAAGTCAACAAAGAATCCATCTCTAAACACATTTCATTTAACATTACAAGAAAAAGACACATGATGAAAAAATGTTCATGGGAAAGAAGGGAGACCTGAGTGGATCAGATCCTGAGGAAGAGGTAAGAACCTCACCGTAGGTATGAGGTTCTTACCTCATGTGGTTCTTACCTCATGAGGTTCTTACCTCATATGGTATGGTATACCATACCATACCATACCCACACCCCCATGTGTGGGTATGGTATGGTATGGTATACCATACCATACCATACCCACACCGTAGGTATGGTATGTATGGTATGGTATGGTATGTGTGCTTCTCACATCATTTCTCATCTGGATTACAAATGGCAAGAGATGGGTTTAAGCTGTGAAGCAGGGGGTTTTACCTTCCAGGCAATGCTCTTCTTGAGCTTCTTGCATTTGCCAAGTTGCTCCTCTATTTGTCCCAAAACAAAAATGTCCCAGGATTGGCAAATACATACATTACCCATCTAATCAGGGTTTCGTGAAGAGTTGAAATACATTGCCACTTACTGCAATCCTGGGACAACTGTTCAGATACACTTTGTGATAGCCTAGGATAAATTGTTAGCACTTTTTATCTCATGACCATTTTAAAGATTTAGGACATTGGGCATGGATGTTTGAACAACTGCAATTTGTCCCAGGGTTAAAATGCAACATCTGTTTGTAGCCTTGGTAGCATTATAGTTCTGGATGTCCTTGTTATTCTTACAAGCATCCAATCCCTCTTTGAATCTTACTATGTTTTGGCAAGGATTTCCACCACCTGATTATGCCATAAATAAGAAAGGGTTTCCTTTTATTGGCTTTGAACTTGCCACTTTTTAGTTTCATGGACTCTCCATGTCCTTGTTTATGAGACTGATCAGGAGCTTTCCATTTCTCTGTTTTTTCTACATCATTTATTATTTGGTATACTTTTTTCAGAGCTCCTCTTATTTGTTTACTCTATGGAAAACCCAATTCTTTGCAATTCATCTTCCTTTGAGAAATTTTCCAAGCTCCTAACCATTCTCATTGCTCTTTTTAAAACACTTTCTAATTTTTCAACATCTTTTGAAGATGAGGTAACTAGACTGCCCATGGATTTATACACCATGGATTTATATGGAGATCTGACATTGTCCTCTTTATCATTCTCCACCCTATTTCTTATGCAACTTAACATTTTGTTTTTGCCTGGCATCTGTACATTGCCCCTGCTTAGAGCCTCCTTATCTTCAGTGAGAGACATCCTGCAGCTCTGTTGAGGGAATCATTATGATTATCCATACAATTAATCTGAAAAACCATTAACAATATTTTACCTTGTTAGTATCTTCTCACGCAAGAATTTCAGAGCAGTTTACTGAGGTGAACAATTTAAATTAGACAACAGTCTTTTGAAGTGGATAAGGTATCTAGTTAAACAATATGTTAATTTATTTTACCCACCAGTGAAATGCATTCACTCTAAGGTAGAATATAGCAGCTGTTTAAACATTCTCAAAAATAATACACAACAAGATGGTCCTGGTTATCCATTCTCTGCACTCATCTACTTATTTGCATTGCTGGAAAGTGAGTGTAAGGTGAATATAAAGGACTGAATACAGGGTAGTGGTAAACCAGGCCCAGCTTCTAACTGAAACTGCAGGGAGAATTTTACATAAGTAGGCTGTATAAATTAAGAAGTTGGTATCTGGCCAGGATGACAGGGTTAATGCTATTTCTTTCCTAAAAGAAACCAGGAGATCTCCTTATGTTCTTATACTATACCCAGCTAATCTGACCCAGATAATGTGCAGCTGATCACCCAGATATTAAGAGCCAGAGCACCAGAAAAGCTCTTGTGACCAGAAGTGAGCAGGGTCCTGTTTTTTATGTAACATATGAAAGGCAGCGCCTACAGCAGTCCCACATCACATAGCCACATAACGGTCAAAACTGACCTTGAAAGAAGGCTGTAGCTGCTTCCTGACCCATCACTACCACCAGCAGCACTAAGACATCCAAGGAATTCTCCTGCCTGCAGACTGTAGAACAGTGTTTCCCAACCGTTTCCAGCCCAAGGCACACTTACATTAATACAATTTTTCCACAGCACACCTGTTATGGCATTCCCCATCCTCATACCTATTGAAGTCCTTGGCCATGGTAAAATTCCGTGGCACACTTGTTCACTGCTGACAGCACACTTTTGTGCTGCTGCACACTGGTAGAGAAACACTGGTATACAACATGGTGAAGGGCATCGTCTCCCTCCTTCCCCTCCTTTGCCTCAGGTCTTTCTCTTAAAAGACCCTGTGGATTTAGCACCTTCTGGGTTGTCTCTAAAGTGGCCTGGCTACCTCCTGCTGCCATCTGGGAAACCTGGTGCCAAGTCAGAGCTCAGATCCGGCAGTACTGTTCTTTCCTCCTGCTCTGGCCCCTCCTAATGTGAGACTGCTGTCCCAGCCGCACACATTGCATCAGCTCTTGGCAAAGCGCATTTCTGCTGGGTGGGAGTGCTGATCCCTGGCAGGGCATCTGTTCTGCTGGATGGGACGAGGACTGTGGAGAATTTTTTTTCCCTTTTTTTTTTATATCGGAGGTCAAATTAGCCAAAACTAATTCCAAATCCAAGAGTCCAGAACTGTAAGTGGCCCTACTGCCAGCAAACATCCTCCACCCCTATCTGGGGCTTCAGATGTTTCCAAAACCACTGGTGCACATCCTGCATACAGGCCCAAGCCTGCAGGCTTGGGGTTGGATGCCCCCGAGTTGTGCTTGCCCTCAGCCCTAAGGCCCTTGGAGCAAGCAAGGGAGGAGACTCCCATTTCCATAAACTGGGCTTAAAGCCACTGCACCTCTCCAGAAGAGCAGTTCCCCTGCAAAGTGGTTCAGGAAAACTGCCTTCTTGGACACGCATACATGGTATTTCCCCAGTCAGGCTGATCTGAGCCTTCAAATGGTCCGAGCAGGACGTGGGGCCTGACAGCGGCTGTGCCGTGCCCCCAGCCTCGGAGAGAGGCGCCTGGGCACTTCCCTATAGGACGGGCCAACCTCAAGGGCTGACCACTGGGCACCGGGGGGGCCCTCATGGGAAACCTCCTCCGTCGGGCTGAAGCCCGGCCCAGGCCGCCTGGCGGGAGTGGCACTGACCCCCGCCCCACTCACGCCGGGCGGGCGGGCGTGCCCGGATGGCAGCGCCCCCGCGGCCTGGCCCCACCCACGCCGCGCCTCGCC